GAAAGGCTAGCAGATCTAGACTGCCAAAATCCAGCCAATCACCAAATGGCAGCAGAGATTTAGAGTTTTAAGTTATCTGTTTGCTGTCATTTTGTCATCCTCCAGATGTCTGCAGCCCAAATCTACTAGCTTTACTTTCTACTAGCAAGGGCATAAAATGCCATGCTTCACACAGCCTGGACTATCCACTGATGTCTTGCGGTCAAGGGAGCTTCTCTCCTAGTTCATTTTCTTTGAATGTGGTTACTAGACACTGCATATCCTATGTTCCTAGTGTGTACTTGTATCCTAGGAGCTGAACTATCACAATATCTGGTGTTACAAAATACCTGCTAGGATACCTTAGATGCCTCCCTTCCACATGCTTTGACTATAGCTCTCACAATCCTTTGCCGGGCGAGCTGGTTGCTAGTAACCTGCAGGGCAAATAGCTGCCTAATCTCATGCATTATATCATTCCTATAAATATTCCAGTAGGCCCACAACACTCCCGTGAATTGCGCCTATAAATGTCATCTAAGGGAGTGAATGTTATCAATGAAAGATGTGAAAGAAATGAATGTTATCAATGAAAAATGATGCCTACCTTGGCCTTATTTTTGAAAACAGATTTGGGAAGACAGTTGTAATGGAGATGCGTGGCCACAATCCTTGGAGAGGGAAATTGTTTCATCCTCTTTAAAAACAAAAACAAGGAAAGAGAAAAAACACATTAAATGGGTCACTCGTGCATATATAGATTGGCTCTACTGACATCTACAGATGATTCATCACCTATATCAAAAGGCAGTTGGAATAACTCCGATTCTCCAAAATACATCTGCACATTTTATGACACCAAACTGAATAATACACTCACTACTAAGATATGCCAAATGTTTCATACCAGTCTGCTTTCACATTCCAGACAAACCACAAAATAACAGCCCCTTCCTGAGTATCTGATAATGATGACATCGCTGGAAGACTAGAGGCACACTCCAGACAAGAGAACTTTCTCTGTTGCCTTATTTCATTTCAACAACTTCCACACAGGTGCAGATAAAACATCCCATTTTGGAAAGCCAGCTTTTGCCACTGACTAACCTGAAACTTTTCTGGATCTCCACACTCAATAAATGGTAATTCTGTATTCTCCTGTTTAATTTTCAAAGTTGTGGCAATCAGATCACTCACAATGAGAATAAGCCAATTCACTCCTGGGAGGGAAAAAAACAGCAAAAATCATAATCAAATCTAAGGAAGTCATAATTCTTGCTGAACTCAGCAAGACTTCATTATCTCAACTTAAATGCAAAATAATTTGCAACTAGATATTGTGAGGTAGAAACTATTCATAACATTGAAACGTTTTATTTAACTAGATTCAAAGTTCTTAGACTCAGATTAAGGCCAGTTGGTGCCCTAAGCACAGCCCAACAATGGTCTCCCTCAACAGAAACCAAACTCTCATGCCCATGAGATGGAAACAAATGTGATGCCTGACATCTTCAAACCAATTTTTAAATGTTAGTCAATCACCATGCCAAAGAAAACTTTTTTGTTTTTGTTTTAAAATGCAAGTTAAAGTCAAACAAGGCAGATAAGGACAATTACCAAAAAATCAACTAAAGTTGAGTGTGGCAGTAAAAGAGTGAGGGGCGTGATAGCTAGGTGGAAAAACTCTGTGATGCCCCCCTTCCCCTAGTGTTCTAAGCACACGCTTATTTTGCTTAATGGTTAATCCAGGGCTGTGTTGACTGAATGACAATTTGAATACCAGGTAGTAAGGGTATTGCAATGATTACAACTATACTTTAAGGACACAGAATTCTGTTCCTCAAAGTTAGACTATATAGTTCAGAAGAAATATTTCTAGAAATTCAAGATTGGAATGTATGTCAGGCAATGAAGTGAGTGAGAAAAACTTTCACAAAACTTTTATAGAACTTCCATTCACATCTAGAAGTTCTGAAATGCATAAGGAATACCTAGTTCTAGTTATTTGTTGCTTAGCTTTATTTTCTTCACATCAGTGGAGGTGGTGAAAAGAAATTTAGCTTCAGGATGTAATCCTATACAATTGCATACTTCTTGAGAAGTAAGCCCCACTGAATGTGCAGGTAGTCCATGATTCGCAGCCACAATAAGGGCCAGAAAATTCATCGTTATGCAGTGCAGTCATTAAATAAGGCATCACGTGACCACACCTGATTTCACAATATTTTTTGCAGTGGTCAATAAGTGAATCACTGAAGTTGCTAAGTGAATCATGTGGTTGCTAAGCAAATCACATGGTCATTAAGTGAATCATGTGGTTCCCCATTGATCTTGCTTGTCAGAAGCCAACTAGGAAGGTTGCAAATGGGAATCATGTGACCCCAGGATGCTGCAACTGCTGTTAATGCATGCCAGTTGCCAAGCACCCAAATTCTGATCACGTGACCATGGGGATGCTGCAATAGACATAAGTGCAAGGACTGGTCATAAGTCACTTTTTTCAGTGCCATCATAACTTCGAACAGCTGCTAAATGAATGGTTGTAAGTCAAGGACTGCCTGTACTAAGAATTACATTTGAATAAAGATACTCCTTATTATCTAATTTCCCGGATTTTTCCTCAAAGAAAATACAGGTGAGAGAGGAGAGAATCAGGCGAATAATGTTTTTTTCTGTTTAAACCTTATATGATTTGTCCCAAACATACTCAAAGCATTCTGTTCTGTAGTTCTATATCACCTTTAGTGCAGCTGTAGACTGAAAGTTTCTTTGTAAGTGTATATAATGCAACAATTATGAGTTGTACTGTATCTTTAAGTTGTATCTTTACCAGATTGCTAAATTATTATTAATGTTTATATATATGCTTCAGTTTGTGAAATCCTTGCTTCCCCTTCTTCAGTTATATATTTTGATTTATTCCCTCATATTAAAATCTAATTAAATAAACAAATATCCTTATTTATGCCTCAAAATCACAAAAGAATTTTCACTTCAAGCTGTGATTTCCGTTTTTGTTTCGGAGCCAAGTTGTGGCGTTGGGCTGTTTGTTAACCATCATAGACAGCATAGCAGATTACAAATGAGGAAACAGACAGAACTGGAGGGCACAAGGGAAGGGGCAAAAGCATACATACAGATAAGTGATAAGCCTAATTGTAAAATCACGATTTGGCCAAAATCTTTGAATCAGGCAATTTAAAGATTTACCTAGATTTACACATTGTATTTAGCCATGGTTGCACCCATACTCTGTTGAATAAACCACAATGGATGGATTACACAATACACTAAGCCAAATTTTTTAAAAAATTACTTACCATGATGCTTGAACCATACAGAACAGTAGTATCTTTAAATCATATTAGGCATTTTAAAGAACTAAAACAAACATTTGCAAGTCATCAGGGTAAAAACTACTTATCAACTACATGGGACATGGCAAATTCCTATTGTTACGAGACACTTCTAAGCTTTAAAAACATCTTAAAACAAGCTTCTGAAAATGCTTCTTGAAGTACTTTAATCACCCACATCACATTTTATTTATCATTCTGTTCTCTCCTTTGTGTCATCTCTTTTCCATAGCTTACATGATGTGGCATCTAACATCGACTAATAGCTGTAAAAGCTCATTCGAGTACAGAAGGTTTCACTTAGAAAAACAAAGATTAGTGGCTCTATTTCTGTGCAAACCATTTCAGTGGTAAGCATAAATACTAACACATTTCAGCTACACAATATTAAAAAGATTTTTTTTTTCCTCTTTGCTTATGATCTTATATGGCCACAAAATAACGCAAGGGTTGTATTCACCACATTTGGGGTAGGACACCAACACCACATCATCTTTTCTGCTTTCGAAATTCTCCAGGGCCTGGAACGTTTCTGCACTGCACACCGTACTCGGATAGAGAATTCCCTGGTAGGAAAAGAGAAGTTCGTGGAGTTTAAGGCCTTGGGATTTTTCCAGCGCTCTCTCTATTTCTTTTGCAAATGTTTTCTCTGTCATGGTTGCTTTCTGTGTTCTAAGCAAACTACCTTGTTGTTCAGGCAGCAAAAGCTTTTAAAGGTATTTTGAGAGGTGGAGTAAACAGCATTGTGCTTATCCTATTGTTTTCTGACTTATATAAGAAAGCCAGCCAGCTCAGATCACCTCCTCCCTCTCCTCCCTTTCTATTCTCCAGGAGAGAAAAACTACCAACTCCTCCAGCCTTAAATATTGTTTACCCTTTGCAGGCCATCCCCACTTAAACCAAGCAACCTTGGCTTGGCTGGGTCTACAAAATAAAATAGATTAAAAAAACAACAACAGCCAAATGGCTTGGTAAACATGCCCAAATGATCAACGTTAAACTTATTTATTTCAATTTATTTGGCCACCCATTTCATTGTAGTGACTCTGGGTAGCTAACCAGAGTTATAAACACAATATAACCAGAAATAAATACATCCTTGGCAGCCAAGGATGTTACAGAGTTTAATTTCTTATGCTAGGATCAGGACCTCTGAAAGGTAAGGTGATAACTGATCATACCAGATGCTCCCAAATTGTAGCTGTTTCTGTAACTATGTAGCCCAACTTTTACAGTACTGTGCAAAGTGCTGTAAGATTATCTTCAGTTTCTGCCACATAACTCTGTAGAGTAGGCTATTACTATGTTTTACAAGTGCTGGGGCATGCAGAACTGCACTTGCAGCAGATAGTTCCGAGCCCCAAGAGTGAGAGACGAAGCAAGCTCCCTAAGCGTCTTTACTCAAGGTAGGACGCGCTTTAGCATCGCTCCTATCCGACTAATTTTGTTTGAACTGCGCATAATTTATTACTGCGCGGCTCATTCCGAAAAACGCCGACAGAGGGCGTTCTTCGCTGTGCCGATTTGCCGCTTCAAAACGATCGTCCGATCGCCGCCCGCAGGCAACGTAAAACTGCCACGAGACGCAAAAGAAGACGTTAGTTGCGGGACTAAAGTAAGTTGCGTAACCCCGAAGAGAACAAGTCATCTTTGCACATGCGCAAAATGGACAGTGGTGACTGCGCTCCCCCAGGCGAGAAAAGCAGTTTACGCCTGCGCACACAGGCTTGGCTCCTCCCTCGGAAGTGAGAAGGAAAGAGCCAACAGAAGGCACGGAAGGGAGATTGGAAGCTTCTCTTCCGTAGAGGACTTTTGGGTTGTGAGTGTCTGGGAACTATCAGTGGTAATTGCTGCTTGCATGTTTCGACCCAGGAGAAAAGTAGAGGTATGCCCGTAGCTTAGGCATTGCACAAAAGATTAGCAGCCGTACGTTGGTGGCACACATAGAAAGTCCTAGTTGGTCTGAAGGTAGAAGGAGGGCTTTTCTGCCTCTGAGTCCGGAGGAAGCGCTGATTTTGAGGAGCAGAGAGCAGCTCTCCGTAGCGCCGAATGTGTTTTGAATCGACTAGCCCAGTGTTTTTCAAACTTGACAACTTTAAGACGTGTGGACTTCAACTCCCAGAATTCCCCAACCAGCATGCTGGCCAGGAAATTCTGGGAGTTGAAGTCCACACGTCTTAAAGTTGCCAAGTTTGAAAAACACTGGGCTAGAGGAAGCAAAATGCACTGCTGGAGGGCAGCATATGGCCAGTCTTGGAAAGCTAAGCATAATCTGTTTGGGACTTGCATGGGAGGCACCAAGAGTCCCAGGATGGTAGAAGAGATTGGGAAGTCTGAAAAATGGAAGGCTGTGGAAAACACCTTTTCATTCGAATTGCTAAGACAAGTTCAGGAGCTTGTCCCAAGGGGAGCCTTAACGGTTTAGGGAGAGTAAAGCAGGCTTAACTTTGAGAACAGCCAGCTGCTACTAGAAAAATATTTTCTTGAGACTTCAGTAGACTGCAGTCTGTCCCATAATTAACAATGGGCTGTTCCTGATGTTTTGGCTGTTCCTATGAGTGTGCAACAAAAGTAGATGCCCATTTGTGAGAACTTAATGCTTTCAGGTTTTGAGTTTCCTACACTCTCTTCCAGGGAGGTATGAAGCCAGCCTGTATCTTTGACAGTCACAAAGTCTGTTCCTCAGAAGTGTTGTGTCTGTTATTTCAAACCTTTTCATCTGATGCCTCTCAAGTGAACATGCTTTTCAGCGGAGGCAGTTCATCCTGCTTACAATTTGAGTTCCACCAAAAGTTTCAGCTGACCAGTTATAACTAATTCAAAACAAATGTTATCACAGCAGTCGATATATGATTTCATCCTACTATCAGTGTAATAAAATGGAAGGAATCATCAGCAAAGGCCTTGGCAAGAGCAAATTTCAGTGAAGAATGTTAGCATTTATATTTTTTACTTTCAATGTTGTTTCTTTATTAGATTTATATCCTGCCTTTCATTCAGAAGCTCACGGCAGTGTACACGGCACTCCCTCATCCCATTTTTCCCTACAACAGCATCTGTGAGGTAGGTTGGATTGAGAAAGTCAGGTCCAAGTCATCTAATGAGCATCTGTGACTAAGTGTTGATTAGAACCTGGTCTCCCCAATGGCATTCAGTGCATTAACCACTATATCACACTACTCTCAAATGTTCAAATAAGTTCAGATTCAATTCAGAACTTAACCCCAACAATGTATTTTGCAGCCTGAGGGCTGCTTTAAAATCATAGAATTAATATTCACCTAAGACTTGAATAGAGGTATTATAATTCTCAAATCAGTCCTCAGTGATTTCACTGCTGACTTGAAAATGATCTTTGCTTCCACCATTCATACATTGATTCAGATACTGCCTTTGTCCTTTACTCACCTTTCTCTTAGGAACTCAACTCCATCCATTCAGTTTTTTTCTCAGACTTCTTCTTAGCCCATTCACTCATCCTTTATATATGTTTTGTGATTTGATCATCAGTCAAGTATATTACCAAACCACTTCAACATATTACTTTTGTACTGATTGCTCACTTTTGTATTCAGTCCACATTCTTTCATCATCATCTCTTTTATCACACTTTACCCCATTTCCACTGCATCCAACGTTTTGTTTTGCCTGACATATCCATCTCATTTCCATATAATGATTTATATACAGCCATTTTAACTCCCTTCAACATTTGTCTCTTGCAATAGACCACCTACTACCAACTACCTTTCTACCAGCATCTGCATATCTTAAAACCCTTCCATTTATTTTCTGATCTTTAGTATACATTCTATCACAGTACATGCATTCATTTACTTGTTCTAATTTTTCACCATTTACTTGTAAGTTGCAGTTGTTCACTCCACTTCTGCCAGCACCACCTTGGTTTTTGATACATTTTCAGGTCCGTATTCACTGCATTATACAATAACATTTACTGCAGATCATTCAGATCCTCAGCCTACAATGAGATTGTGTGCATGAAAAACTATGTTTGCATTAACATCATCTTAAAGATTTCTTAGATGTTTACCCATAGCGTATTAACAACCAAGGAGATACCACACATTCTTGCCTTAGGTGGTCAGTATTAAACTGTTTTCTGAGCATTCCATTGTTGTCATGCATGCTTGATGAATGTTGGAAGTAGACTATATCTGGTTCAAAATGAAAATCATTGGAACATCCAGTACCTCACCAGTAATTTAACAAACTGAGATCCATGGAAAATATATACATCTTTAGTTCTATTCCTTTCAGCTTCCTTGTGTAAAGTTGTATCATTTCTTGTTCTTTAAATTTAAAGTCACTACTGAAATGTTATCACCACTGACCTCTATTCACTTCTATCGCTAGGAGTTGGGCTTGCCTGAACCATGACTCCCCACACATCAGTCAAGATCTTCAAAAAAATTTTAATTTTGGAAATGATTGGAGTTCTGGGGGCATATGCTTTATATTACAAAATGGACTCAAGTGAAGGTAATAAATTGATGCATATTTACATCAAGTAACTTCATTGAGGTGTGCAGTATTCTGATATGAAATGGGAAAGATGCTTTGGATCTGGTGTGAATGCACTCACTGTATCTGTCAGTCATACCATAAGGAAGCCACACCTTTTCCTGGTTTTCTGTGGTATTGTGCAAGACCAAGAAAAAGTGTGGCTTCTTTAAGGTTCTGGTGATACAGTAAGTATGTCTATGATAGATCTAAAGTAGGAAAACACTTTTTCTGCACATCCTTGGATTGCTTATCAAATAAGAATCTGACTAGTTCATAAATGTTGTAATCCTTCCTCATAGGGGAGTAACTGGTCCATGTTTTTTGCACCTTCACTATCACTTGATTTGCTTGATTATGTGCCATCAAGTCAGTTTTGACTCTCAGCAACCACATAGATAGATCTTCTCCATGGTGATCTATCTATTTATTACCTGTTCTTTCAAGTCTCCCAACGGTGCATTCGTTGCCACTGTAACTGAGTCCATCTACCTTGCTGCTGGTTGTCCTCTTCTCTTTCCTTCCACCTTTCCCAGAATGCTATTATTTTTGAGGTGTGATGACCAGAGCTATACCCAGTACTTCAGATATGATCAGACTACAGACCTGAATTATGAGATTACTTATTGTTATGATAGTTTCCTCTTTTCCTAATGATTCCCAACATGGAATTTTGCTTTAATAGTTATTCATAAGGTGATGCTTTCATCAAGCTATTCATCACTATCTCAAAAATCCTCTAATGGATAATCAACACTAGTTTAGATCCTTCCAGTATGTATGTGATAGTACTGTTTTTCCTAAATGTCTATAACTCTACGCTTGCTTAGATGGAATTTTATGTATTTTAATGCTCATTGTTCCAGTATGGCGAGATTTTAAAACTTTTAATTATCCCATTTTGTTTTAATCAGATTTATCGGCATCAGCAAAGTTCTTCATTGCTAGTCCTTAAGCTCCTTTATGACCACATTAAAAACTACTAATCCCAGTGCAGATCTCTGAGAATCTCACTGTTTATATCTGTCCATTGAGACCTTTATTCTTACTCCTTCCATTGTTTAAATTAATGAAACATGAGAGTTTGTCTTACTTCATGATAGCTAAATTTCCCAAGAAACCTTTGGAGACTAACTTTGTCAAAAGTCTTTTGAAAATATAAGGAGACACTTCTGCTCTGTCACTTTTACAAACTACAGTTTCATATTCAGTGAATTCCAAAAGATTAGGACAATGTGAAAAAAGTATTACAACTACTGTAATTAAAGTCTCCTGTAATACTTTGTAACTAACAGAAATTCTTTTTCCCCAGATTTCAGACATAAAATGAAACGAAGATGGCCATCTATTCTGGAAGGTATGTTTGGCTAACAAGTGCTGCTAGTAATTATTTCCTTCCACGAAATAAACCATTTTTCAAATACAGTTGTTTGGCACAGATAACATTCTGGTATGGCTTCCCTCTCAAAATGAGAATTTTTTTTTACTCAAAATCATATCTTCTAAATTCCATCTTAAGCCAAGTTTAAGACATTTTCTTATTTTCACAGTTTATTACAAGAGTAATGAGTGGGCTGGTATTTATGGGATCAGAGAGACAGATGAAGAGAAATGGCTAACAAAAAAACCCTAGAAGTAAGTAGAAATAATTTGGTAGTAGTTAATAGCAAAAGAATTTACATTTATTTTTTGCTCTTGTATTTTTGTTTGTTTTTCAGTGGTTTGTGTCTGAACTTCTTTTTCTTTCTGATGATACTTTTTGCATCTCTATTGTGAATCCACTTGTCACGCTCTGCCTCCCACTTGAGCTGTTTGAAATCTAACAGAGGAAGACAGTGAACAAATTAGATAACTCAATGGAATAACTGCATTCTCTAAACCTGAATGCGAAGATTTCTATTTGGATGCAAATAATTTCTTAGGCAAGAGATTCCAAAGAACAAATAAAGCATGAATACTTTTGTTGCATCTTTTTTCATTTAAAAAAACACATGAAAAAGGCACATAAAAAGGGTCCACTTTTTCTTTTGTTTGTTTTTCAGTAGACAGGTCAATCCTATATGCACAGATATACTGTGTCTTTTCACAAGCAATGTACAAAATAAGCTCAGTATATTAAAAAACAGTAATACAGGTCTCACCAGTTATGCTCTGGAGCAATTGCTTTTTCATATGTGAAAAATGTTATGCAGTAAGATTTCTTATATTGTATCACTATATAGAAACACTACAGACTGAACATAGATTTGACCTTCTTATTCTGGAAGCTAGAGAAATCTAACCAAGGCTCCCACTGGAATAAGAAGCAGAGTGCAAATCCTTATCCATTTCTCATGTATGTTTCATCTAAGCACTGTTTCATCAGTGCTTCCAAAGAAGCATTTTATATGCTAAGATAAGTAAAATATAAGCTTAATAGAGAATCCAGGCATGAAAGGACTGGAAGTAGCAAGTTCATTAAAATTCCATTTAACATGATTAATGGAAGCCTCTCAACAGCCAAATGTTTAAAAGACTTTTCACAAAGATTACCTAGAAGAATATACTTGATGAGAGACACTGCCAAGGCGTTAACAATTACATTAAGTACTTCTATTCACTTTCCCTAGTCCTAATAAACACTGCGGGGACTAGTCCAGGCAATCGCCAGGCATCAACAATGACTCGAAGGCACACGCACAATAAACACAGGCTCACTGGATTCCCAGAATTTATCTTCATTAACATAATTGTTGCCTACAAAAGAGGCCTACTGGTTGTTTAAGCAGCATCTAAGGATTCTCAGGGTAGCCCCTCAACTCATCTTAGAAAAACTGCACAAGAAAGCATATAGGATAATGGCAAAAGAGGTCATTGATACCATGAGCACACGACATCCTTGGGCATTAGCAACTAGTTTTACAACACATTACAAGTATTACCATCCCTGAACAAGACTGCAGTCTGTCAGCTGAGTCCATAATGGCACTGGGGAACAGAATTTCCCCCCATATTATAGTGGTCTATGGTTGCTGGATAATGCACTAGGAGAGGCTTCATATGAACAAGAGTGTGTGAGTGCACACACGTACAGGCAATCATATATATGCATGTGTGGCCCACATTTCACTAGCCAGTAAATCAATTAGCCCTTGGAACAAAAAAATTACCTTATTGTGATCTTCCAAATAGTTGGTCATCTTAGAATATAATTCATGAACAACACATTTGAAGAGTACAGTTTAAATGTCTAAAATATTCTGTGCAGATGTACATAAAATACCACATAAAAATAAAAGTTTTAAAATTATATAACAAACCCAAATGCATAACAATGAGCTTTCAAATTTCAAGGAAACTGGTGTGTAAATGAAATGATGGTTCTCAATTGACTCTAAGCATTATACTTTGTTAGTTGGAATAACTTACTTTGTTTAAAACAAATCATAATATCAAACAAACCAGAAATAATGGCCCTGAGCAGTAAGAATTTTATATAAATCCTAGTTGAGGTAGAATGTCAAATATATTTCCTGATCCTGTAAAAGTTACTTACTTGCATTATCTTTGTTGGCCATTGCGTTCATTCCAATATTGTCAAATTTGGACCCAATATTTTCATCCAATAAGTGACCAAACTTTAAAAGAAATGCAATACAATTAGATCTTTGAATGCCTTCAAATCAAATACATTTTAATAAATACTAAAATTAATCCACCTACTTCTTCTGCAGCAGCAGTGACACCAGTATCTTTGAGTTTTCTCTTCCTTTTCTTTGATCCTTAAAAAAAAAAACATTCAGCAACTGTTTCTGCACAGTTTTGTACAAAGCAAGCATTAACTGTTGTTAGTATAACAAAGTAGTGGCCAAAGGAAGCTGGAGAGAACTACAGAATCTACACATCTGAACTGGACAAAAATACTGTATAACAAGCAGTTTTAAGTCTCTTAACTCTGCAACAAACCACCTCATTTACAGATCCTACCACTTTCCACTGGTTTGGAAGTAATAAATTTAACAATATACTATAAATTTCCATGTTTCTCCCTAACTGAAATTATTCTTACTTTTTAGAAAGTTGATATTACATCAGCCACTTCCCTTTCCTCTGATATGAATACTGGATTGATTGGTAAGCTGTTTAATAATGGAATCAGAAAAGTCTTAACAAATGAGTGGTTCAATGAAACTATCCTGCAGTGTAAAATCTCTTTGGAGTCACTTTCATTTAAAGAGTCCATAAATAAAATTAAATCCCTTATTACCATCCAATGTCACTAATATAAATCCCTGATGCTCTCTAAAACTACTTGTAATTGTGCAGTGGAAAGAATATAATTCTGGTAGCTTGTGCTAATCCCTTGGTATTTTGACAGAAACATGAACTTCTTATTTGTCAAGTCTTAAAAGTATTACCTTTACCTATATTACCTTTAATTGATCCAGCAAAATCCATTTCTTTTTTTCTTTTGCCATTCTTACTCCCAGGTGTGACTGCAGCTTCTTTATTTTCATCTGTTACCAAAAAGGAGAGCCAGTAAAACTTGTATTACATAATAACATTGAAGATTGCAGCATGAAATTTTTGTGTCCTTCACTTGGGAACAACTGAGTACTACAAACGTTGGAACAGCTCAAGTCTTATCTACAGAATAACTTTTAAAACTGAAAAAAATCTGTATAGTTCAACTGTTTTAGCAAGAGTGAACAATTTTAATACTATAGGAACTTTTTTTTACCTGGAGTGTTATCATCATCTGACACATCCATGAAAGTCCCTCCCTCTTCATCAATATCTTCTCCAAAGTCTTCATCCATACTACCCAGAGAGACTTCCTCATCATCAAGGTCATCAAAATTGTCTTCCTCAGAATCTTCTGATTCTGTTTCATCACTTGAGTTTCTCTTCTGCTTCTTTTTGACTTTTATATTACTAAAAATTTAGGAAAGAAACTTTAAATACAAGTCTGTCTATATACTTTACACACAATTTACACACTATGCACAATTCTTGCCTTCCTTTTTAAATTGGCCTTTGTGGATTTTGATACTTAGTGGAGAAGGAGAATATCTATCTTATTTATGATTGTGTTGTTTTATTTTGAGGTAGCCCAGCTGATGTTCTCTGAATATCTCCCAGTGTTTCTGACTAGAGCAGTATATAAATGTTGCTAATAAATACATATGTAAATTTATGAATACTAATCAAATTAGAATTTATCATCTATACTTAAGTTGATGGCACAATTAAGGAGTTTACTGGTAGTGATTCTTTACACTGTAAGAAATTCTGAAGAACCTCGGCTATTAATGCCACACTATAGTTTATATTAGACAAATTAGCCAATCTCTATGCAAAAGGATAGAGACAAAAATCTGCCATCAGAAATAGCAAAATCTGAAACCAATAGAGTGACATTTTAACACCCCAGAATGCTAGAACTCTGATCCCAAGCTGGAGTACTTGATAAAAGGAACCATAAAACCTGAAACGCATCAGAAATTTCAGTATCATTTATCTTGGCCTGAAGATGTACCAAATATTTTCAGTATATTACAATAGTTAGTTACTAACTCTAAAATTTCCATTTCATAAGTTGTTGTTCATCAATTTCCAAAGTAGACTGAATTATAGCCCCTCCCCCACATTTTCTCTCCCTCTAAACCAAAAAGTAAGATATCAACAACTGTGTATGTATAATCCTTCACAGGACTATGAATTTCATGTGAAAAGGAAGCTAATTCTTGATGGATACAAGATCTTTGATGACTTTGTTGCACATCAGAATGACATATACCACTACTTTAATTGCAACAATTATCTAAGATGCTTTGTTCTATGTCCCCAGATGCCCAACGTAACGTTGACTATACTTACTCCACCCCTTTTTCTCCATTTTCTACAAGTGTATGCATTTATAAAATCTCTCACATGGAAAGTTATCAGTTAAGCTGAAATGTAGTTGATCCACAAATCCATACAAAAAAATTGGTTGAGTCTTTAAGATGTGACAAACCCTGTTTTTTTTTCCTTTTACTTGGAATATGGTAGCATATATTAAAAATGTAATTATGATTTTATTTGTAAGCAGGGACAAGAGTGAGAAGGCAAGTTACATCTTAGTCCAGCAGTATCACAGCAAAAGTTAGGAGCACCAAAAAGTTTTCATTGGAAATTAGCTATAAATGTGCACAATTTTAGGCATACAGGATGTACTATAAATGTCCTTTGATTATGAATTTAGATGCAGATATTTTCACAAAGCTGCATAACAGTTAAATTTGATCTTCTAAACCTCTTTATATAATCCAAGAATACTAATCAGCTTTCCATCCCAAATCCCTGTTCTCCTGTAACACTAACATTTCATAGCATGTGAAACCTGAACCAATGGGAACAACACACACTGAAGCATCAGTGGCTCTCCCAGTTTCTGTCTTCTTTGCCAATAAGAAAGAAGTGGTATGCCAAACCATTCAGTAACGGAAGCGCTAAACTGGGAATATGTTGGGAGGGGGAGGGGGATGATACAAATCAAAATGATCCATTAAGTTTATTCTACTGTGTTTCTTTCCATTTATTTTTTTTCCATCTAATACAGTTGACACAGAGTGTTTACTTTGTAATGAATGCCACAAAGGTAAATGCTCTGTGTCAACTGTTTTTGCATATGCTCTTATTTCAAGCCCAATCACTTTATATAACTCACAGTATTTATAGATGAAAAGTAATTCTAATCCATATCAGATTATGGGAAAAAGAACTCCAAGAGGGTTTAGTTTATTCCCATACACACAGTATCAAAATCAAAATTAATCCTTTCTCATATGGAACAGAAGTACACTTTAAAATGTAGATATGGGACATTTACACTGCAAGATAGTACTTTTCTCCTCAACCTCAAGGACAAGCAGACTGAGGACATGAGAAGACATACTTGACACAGCAGAAGCCTACTATTAATTTAAAAAAACACACACACATTTTATCCTTTCTAAACTAAAACAATTCAAACACTGCAAAGGTTAAGAAAGGTTTTCTATACTACATCAGGTAGATCACATGGGTAAGTTCAGATCTCTTCTAAAATAAAGATCATTCTCAGAGGTGTCTTATTTTTGCTAAAACCAAAACCCTAGAAAATTACTAAAATTACTAAATTTAAATTTAAATTTTAAATTAAATTTAAAAATTAAATTTTAAACCCTGGAAAATTACTAAAAAGTTAAAGCAAGCATGCTCTGACATTATGTTTTGCATTATATTATATTATATATATTAATGTCAGTAATTTGGTTGATTGGTAATAATATATCAAGTGTGAAGAGCTATTCTGAATCCCATTTAGTGACATAATATTAAGTATTTTATTTCAGAAAAGCCCTGAGCCATCATGCACTATTTACTGTACAATCAGTTCATAGTGTTGGTTTAAACCAGTTATTTGTGTTACCTAGGATCTTTAGAATTCATATACAGAATTTTAAAAATAATCTTACCCAGCAAAATTAAGGTCACTCTCAACATCCTCAAAATAACTATCTTGCTCAAAGGAGTCTGAAAGAAAAAAGAAATTGGGTACAGAAGTATGTTATTGCAATGTCAATGTTAAAATATTTAACAATTTGAGATAGACATAGATATAGATATAGATATATATAGAGAGATTGAGATTTATTGTAGAGAGCCACAGAAGGAAAGGGGCAGCTAGCAAAACATGAATTAAACCCAACAAGGAAGAAAATGTTAGAAAGTAACTTAAAGTGACTCTGCCTTAAGTCTCTTTGGTATAAGAGGGAGGGAAGGGAAAGCACTGTCAGACTTTCGAGATTGATGTCAGCCAAACAATAGCTGCCACATTCAAAGGAAATAAAATGTACTATATATCATTTATGAATTATTAGCTACCTGAGAGGAGGAACTGAACAGTGTGCATAGCCTTACCTAATGCTCTTTCAAATTCATCATCATCCACATCTTCTACACTTTCATCATCTCTCGCAGGTCTCCTTTTCTCCTTCTCCAAGTCTAACTTTTTATAAAACCTGAGAATCAAAAGAATATTGTCCATGTCCAGATAAAACTAGTTAATTGAGATATGGCTAATCTGTTAAAGTAATACAAATATAGTTCAAGATTTTACTTTTATAAACACTAAGTAATATATTGCTTTAAAGTCATTACAGAAAGTCCTCAGGTTATGATGGCAATTGGGACCAGGACTGCCATCGCTAACCTATGCGATTGTAAAGTGTAACATCACACAACTGCATCACTTAGCAATAGTAATCCTGGGCAGTCCTGGTTGCCACTGTAAACCCAAGATGCGCGGGTCATTAAGTGGGAAAAGGCAGGAGTCCTAGGTACGGAGCACGGGGGTGCTGTGGGGGGGTGGGGAGCCCCTGGGAGGGCCAGTGCAGGCCACCCAGGAGGCCGGGGAAGGCCTTGAAGGCCAGCACAGGTGACACGTAAGTCAGGAGAGGGCCAGCACAGGCTGTGGGTGGGAGAAAAACAGCGCGACTTACCATCTTCCCTGCCAGCTTCCCCATTGACTTTGCTTGTGAGAAGGCAGCATGGAAGATTACAAATGGCAATCATGTGACCAGGGCTCCCTATGATGTCATAATCACTCCCTGAGCACCCAGATCGCAATCACATGACCGTGGGGTTGCTGCAATGGCCAGAACTTTGAGGACCAGTCATCCGTCCATTTTTTCAGCATTACTGTAACTTTGAACCATCACTGAATGAATGGACGTAAGCTGAGGACTACCTGTAGTTTTTATTTGAAACAGAATTGATATCACTTATAAGAAAAGCAAATTGTTGCATCATACATTTAATTAGACTCCATAATACTCCATTTATTATTTGCTAATATGAAAAGCCTTTTGTAGGCCAGTTGTGATGGGATTTCTTCCAATAATTAACAGAAAGCTATGCTGTCATATGCTGCTTTGAGATAAAAAGAAAATCCTTTCAACATTCCATAATAATACACTATGATAAACACATAAAATTATTTTGATCTGTTACTGTTTTATTATGAATTGACTATTGATTATGTGCCATCAAATCAGTGTCGACACTCAGACAGATTTTCTCCATGACGATCTATCCCTAACCTGGTCCATCTGGTCTTCCAACAGTGCACCCATTGCCACTGTAAATGAGTCCCTCCATCTTGCTGCTGGTCATTCTCTTCTCTTTTCTTCCACCATTCCCAGCAATAAAGCTTTCCTCAGAGAGCTAGGTGTTCACACAATGTGTCCAAAGTAAGATAATTTGAGCCTGGTCATTTCTGCCTCAAATGAGAACTCCAAATTGATTTGTTCACTGATCCATTTGTTTCTTTTCTTGGCTGTCCGTGGTATTCTCAGGAGTCTTTCCCAACATTCAAAAGATTCATTCAAAAGTGTCAATATTCTTCTTATCCTGCTTCTTCAAAGTCCAACTTTATAGAGTGTCACAGAAAACACCATTGCTTGCGCTATTTTGATCTCTGTAGGTATAGATTCATCACAGTATCTGAATATCTTTTCCAAGGCCTTCACAGCTACTCTACAAAGAGCCAGTCTGTGACATATTTCTTTACTGTTTTTTCCTTTACTGTTGATGGTTGATCCTAAAAGGCAGAATCTACCACGTCAATATCTTCATTGTCAATTCTAAGGCAGGCTGTTGTACTTCTTATCATTAGTTTGATCTTCTTTATATTTAATTTAATATTTAATTTTAGTCCCATTTTTCACTGTGTTCCTTCACTTTTATTACTAGACCTTGCAGGTCCTTTACATTTTCAGCTATTAGAATAGTGTCATCAGCATAGCACAGGATCATGAATTATAAATTTCAAAACATTCGTTTCCCTTTATTTACTGTTCTGTTTACCTTTCCTACTGTCTTGTGTACTGTTAGTTCCTTAATATTCATTTTGACTGATATAAGTGCTCCAACAGGCTTCACTTTGCTAGAAGTCCCAGTGGAAGTCCACGGATGCAGATGCAAATAGCCAGGCAAGTTTTCCAGACAACATAGCTGATTTAATGCTTCAGGGAGGATGATGTAACACCCATGTTGAAGTGACCCTTTTGAATGCATTGCACAGCCACATTTCCCAGGATGCTACCAAAGCAAGGTTTGTTGTGAGGGTTTGGATCTCTCTCTATTTCTAAATTTTCTAGCCACATCTTGTTTGCAGGCAGAATATTAATCAGGGCTGAAAAATCAGAAGCACGATTTCCCACCACAGCTAGTGAAGCTTTAGGTTGATCAAACAGAGACAATCTAAGCCAAGATGGCATGATTGAGCCTGACCCTACTAGTTCTGTATGGTGTATGGACCTTCCTAAGGACTACTGTCCACACTATTGCATTTTATCGTGTACCCTTTCTCCTTTATAGTTTTTAAAAACCCTTGACATTAGCTACTTATTTTTTTCCCTCCTGACAATCACCTACCTATTCTAAACAATTGTATTAATTGTGAGATTTGCACAAGCGCTGCTATAATAAAAACCGTAAAGCATGCACCTGCAAGAAAAAACCTGCCGCACACCCAATGAAGAGCAAAAGTAAAAACAACCAGTACACCAAAGTATAATTTTAAAAAAGATGTAATTACCTGTGGAAAAATACTTCATCTACTGGGATTCTGCTTTCATCTTGTGAAAGGAATTCTTTACTATTCACTAGAAATAAAAATATCAAATATGATATATATCATATAGATTGTTCATAACACTGATTAAAACTGGTAGTTCTATATAAAAACAGATTCATGTAATCACCAGAAATCTATAGAAGTCTATGTGCAGGTTAAAATCCTTAATTAATGTGAGGCTGAGAAGAAGCAACAACTCTGGAACTTGGGACACTTAAGCCCAGATGCTTAAGTATCCTCCCTGCATGTTTCCTACTTCCTATCCTAGATTTGTTGAATAAAAGATGTAAATACAATTCTTTCTTTCTGTTTGGATCCCAAAGCAGAACACAATTTGCAATTACCAATACAATTTTAACATGTTTTAAATAATTATTAATTTGATTTGAAAGCTTTAACAAAAAGAAGTGTTACAACATGGAGAATTCAATTCATGAGACCCATTGGAGGTTGCATCCATCTAGTGTTCCTCTGCTGTTGGAGGGACTCAATGATGAAATAGAGGCTTCCCAGCAAAACCAAGAAAGTGATGATTTATTGTAGTTTCTTTCCCCTCTTACAATCCTCCACAAATCTACTGCAGAGGCTTACAGAATCCTTGGCACAACAAGGGGGAAAGAGGAGGGAAGAGAGACAAAGCTAAAATCTGCTTCCCTGTTATTCAGTTAGAGGCCTTCACTCAAAGAAAGCACATTCATTCCATGGGCAAAGTAACCTCAATTGGATATGATCCTGGATCTCCATTACAAATTATAAAAATAGTCCAAAAATTTATCACAGTGCACAAGAAATTTAAAAAAAAAAACCCTTACCACCAAATAGGTATGCTATTTTGGAGGAATATTCTCAATTTAGCAATATTTTAAAGCTGAAGGAGAGAGAGTGGGCAGATTTACAAGTATATATTCATATCTGGCATTTAGCAGCACAATAAAAACTCTGCAAGCAAATTATCTTGAAGCTTTCACAAATTAGCATACTGGGTTCCATACTCCCCTCCCTATATTTTAAACCTCTTCTTTTAAAAATATCCCACAAAATAAATTTTAGATGACAATGAAAAACACATTTTCTGGAGCAACGCTGCCAATTCTTACAATCAAATAGGAAATAATTCCCTTCTTAAAGAGCTAAAACTCACTTATAATTCCATACAAAGTTGAACTTCTAACAGGATGTCTTTTCTGGCAGTTCACAGAAAGAATAACAAATCAGAGTAAGTGGTTGATGACTGAAGGCACAAACAGAAATAATTTGATGATCTAAACAGTTATGTGTGCCCCTAGGATGGCACACGTTACACCTCTGCTCCATAAGCTGCATTGGCTTCCAGTTTTCTTCCAGGCACAACTGAAAGTGCTAGCTTCGATTTTTAAACCCCTACAAGGTTATTTGAGGGACTGCTTCTTCCCATCTGCCCGTCCCATCAGGTTCAGGAGGAGGGATATGCTGCAGATCCCATCTGGCAGGACCCAGAAGACATGCCTTTTCTGCTGTGGCTACTGCTCTCTGGAACATCATTCCCTCCGAGGTGAAGTTGACCCCATTCCTGTTAGCCTTCCCAAAATCCCTTAAAACATTGTTTTTCCAGCAACCATGGGGATCCTGTAGGGAGCCTGTGAGTGGTTGTATGACATCAGGTTATTGTTATTCTCCTGTGATCTTGGCTTTTTCATGTTTTATTTTGATTTGTTTAATGTTTTAAGATTGGCTATGTTGTTTTAATTGTTGCTGTTTATACACCACCCAGTCATATTATGTGAGCTGGGTGGCTGTATAAATTTGCTAAATAAATAAATAAACAATGGATTGCTTCTGGCAGGGCAGGGAATAGTGGGGTGAGGGCTTATGACAGGTGAGTTGCTCTAAGGGACATGAGATGATTTTTAAAGGTGAAAGGTGGGTTTTTCTCTTTGGGCCTCCAAGAGGGCCAAAAACAGGGTTAACATTTTGCAGACAATAAGAAAATTTGTGGCTAATTAAAATACCTGGACGTAGGCATATCTACTTTGTAAGTGGAAATATATAAAAAGGCAGAAGTGTTAAGCAGTGGAGGGGAGGTTTTTGGACATTGCTGGAGTTGTATGCCATGGATTGGAGATACTGTATTGAAGAACAGATGGAGGAGGAATCTGCAGCTATAGACCTAGCAGAAACAAACAGAGATAGAGCTGCTGAGTGAACTGGCTAGTGGAAAAAACTGCTGCTTTTGAAAGGCAGAATAGACATCAGTGAGGATGGTGCTGGTATCAGAGAAGCTTGGGAAAAAGTTATTTTTCCTTTCTTCCATTCACCACCCTAAACTAAAAGTGAGCCCCAAGTACTGAAAGAAGATGCATGAGTCAGGGAGGGCAGGAGGTAATTAGATGACATTAATATAAAAAAGGTCCATTTGGAATTGTCTGAATAGAACTGTATATGTGTGGTTTGTTAAACTAAGACCACTATCTATATTGGAAGTACAGACTAATTAACTACCTAAAAGTACTGCAACAATAAACATCACTGTAATTTAGAGAACTCTGTGTGTCTGAAAAGTTCCTGTTCCTTTTCCCACTCTCAACAGGGCTTTTAACAAAACCTGCCTCCTCCTCAAGCTATTTGCCCAATGGAGAAAACATAATAATTAACAAATATAATACATGAATGCTTTCTCAAACAAGGTAAATAGCAGCCAGAGAAGATATTGAGAAAAAAGAAAAGGGAAAGGGAGAACTCCACTCTAGTGTCATGCAATCTAACTTGCTTTTCTCCTCAATCCCCCACCCAAACCATTTTTTTTTTTTGTGCTAAATTTTAAGAATGTGTAAGATCCACAATAAAGGTTTTCAAAGTTAGCTCCTATCTGTGCTTAGTTCACTTCTATTCAGCAAATGAAAGTGCCCTAGAAAAATGACAGAAACATGCATGAATACTGAATCTGACAGAAAGAAAGCAAGGTTTTAAAAGGCTATTTAATTCAAAGCAAGCAGAAAAAAGTATAATTTCTGCATTTTTAGATCTTTTTCCCCATATTTAAAAAAAAAAAATCCAGTGTCTCAATGCTACTGGAAATGTCATACTTATAGAATTTCAAGGCAAGTAAAAAAAAACTTCCTCTGAAACAAAATGATACAGGTATACCTGTGAGTATATTATACATGAATTTTTAGGGGAAATGGGGGGTGGGGAGACAAATCTTCCCTATTCCTCCTCTTGTCCCCAATTCTAATAACTACTCTTAATGCATGAGAATGAAGCTAGACAAAAGGTATCAGTTCTTAGAATTAGACATACAATATCTCAACTATTCTCCTAACCCAGACTAACTGCCAATCTGAAATTTTATCCAAAGCTAAACACCAATACATAGTATGAAAACAAATACATTCATTATATAATTTATTCAAGAAAGTTTAAATAACTTTCCTTGTTTAAGCCATTTAGGCAGAAAAAATGTGACTATGTGGTATCTTAGGAAAAATGTCATAAAAATCACTATTTTTAATTATATCAGGAAGCTGAGTATCTCATTGTCTAGTACTACATTTTCATTCATGAAAATCTCTTTGATCCAATGGAAGCATCTAGGAATGGAAGAGCTAAATGTGGTGAACACTAATTACCCCCTTTATCCCTAAGACCCTTGAATTCTACCCAGCCCAAATTTGCTTTAGAGGATTGAGGAAAACTCCAGAAAAATGTGGCCAGTAGTTTGGGAGCTGCAGGAGAAATGGGAGAAAACTGCCCTTACATAATAGGCATTTCTATTCATAGGATCCTCTGTTGGATTCAGAAGACTCCAGTGAATGATATTCAATGGACTCAACATGTTCTGTGGCTTCTACTGAAATTGATGGAAGTTACAACGGTCTTATAATAAAGATAGGAAACTACTAGTGATAATCTTTAGAATGCAAGTTATTTTACCTGCCAAGTTTCTCACATCATTCATGGACTGTTTCTTCTTTGGCTGCATTACCACACTACTGGTGTTCTCTGCATAAATAAGTTAAGAGGTGAAACAAACTTATAATAGTTGCTCATGTTAACCTTAATCTATGATGCTTTACTAAACTGAAGGCTTCATACCTTTGCCTTTGTGAGCTTTGGGATTTCTATAAACAAAACGATCCAAAAATCTCATTAATGTGAAATCCTGTAGAGGGTCACCTGGATATTCAATGTAATTACCCTAAAACAGAGAAAAAATCACATTTACAGTTAGCACCAAGAAATATGTGAGTGGAAATAACAGAAGAGGCATATCTGTTTAAATTGACCTATTAACAGGAAGAATTGACAGGAGATGAAATTGATTATCTAAATTGTGGGGGAAAAGTTGACATTCTGTATCTGGACCAAAAACAGTACTTCCAGTCTATTAAAGAACAAGTAAGATAGTAGGGACCCTTCCTATTCTACTAAGTAGACCAGTAAGTGCCAAACAAATACAGTCATCCCATTTATCTACCAATATTGTTGAAACGAAGATCAAATATACGCATGTTGAAATATGCTGAAAAAGTCAAAGATTTCAATGGGGTGTACTTACTTTTCCACATGACTGCAGACAAGAAATGTACAGATGGTAGGACTAAAGAAGAAACAGGCAGAACTATGTCTATTTTTTAATATAGTCAAGTGGCAACATGACCACCTTAAGCTAGACTGGTAGGAGGGAAATGCAATGGCAAATTACGCCCCCATTCACTTTTTGCTTCCGTTCCATGTTTTGGGATAGGAAGCCTTCCTCTACAATTCAAGGTCAAAACAGTAAAGGACAAAAAAAAAAAAGAAATTCAACTAACCTCTAGAATTCTTTTTGCAAAAAGAGCCACAGATGGATGGAAGTGTTCTGAAAGCTAGAAAGAGGAAGCCTTCCTCTACAATTCAAGGTCAAAACAGTAAAGGACAAAAAAAAAAAGAAATTCAACTAACCTCTAGAATTCTTTTTGCAAAAAGAGCCACAGATGGATGGAAGTGTTCTGAAAGCTAGAAAGACCAAAATTACAAGTTCAATATTTTAAGATGGTTAAATCTCTACAATTGTTAAAAATACAAAGAATTATTTCAGTCAAGAGAGAAAAATAATTATACAGTACAAACATTCTTTATCATAATTTCTTCTGTTTAATACATTTTTAATACAAAAGACCTACAGTTACTCAAACCTATTATATCTAAAGCCAAATGAAATACAGGAAAAGACAACCAACATATCCAGGAGAAAGATTAAAGCAAAGTACAAAGTCACATGGATCCTTGCTTTCTAAGCAAAAGAACTTAAGCCATTGACACAAAAGGCATCAAACAGAGAACATTCAAAATTTCAGAGAAGTCCCATAGCTGCAGGAGATCCTAAGAAAAGTTGCAAGCCAGCCTTTAAAGAGAAATCACTTTTCCTTAAAAATTATATAATGGAATGACACCTCATCTGAGGATCACTAAAACTCATTAACTATGAAAAAGATGTTTCTGCAAGGGTTTCAGTTCCTTTTCTAATACCACATCTGAATTCTATTCATCTTGTGCCCATAAAAATCTAAACAGTACCTTCCTGAGTTCCCAAAAAATTATATTGTTTGCTATGCAGAAATATCTAATGGAATAATTCTCCTCACTGGTCTAAAGATAGGAAATCATATTTTATTTATTATTTCATTTAATTTTACATTTCTACTTTGTCTATCCTCAGAGAGCTAAAAACAGAGTACTCCTCATTTTATCTTCACAACCTCCCTGTGAGGAAGGTCAGGCTAAGAAACCATGACTTACCCAAAGATATCCATAATAAAGAGGGATTTGATTCTGTGTACTTTTGGCTCCAACCCTCACTTTTACTTTGTGCCCTGCCTGGAAAAGCAGCATGAGGTTTGGCTAATGATGTCATCAGCAGGTGGAACAGAGTGGGAAGTATAAAATGGCTGAAGCAGCATAAAAGAATTCCTAATACATAAATAAATATAACTGTACAATACCAAGATTACATTAGGCAGATTTCTCCTCCAATTCTTCACTACTTGAAAATCTAAATAATTGTACCTTCTTCAGTTCCCAAAAGCTTGTTCTATCAGCTTCACAGTATGAAGGGTTCCGAGATAATGGGTCATAGCTACCCGTGCTTTTGCCACCTGTTAAAGAAGAAATGTTTTATTACATTCCAATGTAAATTAACAGAAACACCTAGTTAACAGGACAAAGCAGGAAACAGACTTCTTTGCAATAAACATCACCAAGTTACTACAAAATCTTTGTCATTCTGCTTTAATTTTACAACCTGGACCTGAAATCCATGTGGTTTAGATGGCAAAAGACAGTGAAGAGCAGCATGGCGAGCCAAATGGCTATTACTCCAAGTACAGCTTCTGATGATGCAACAGTAGAAAGGGAACGACAAGGTATCTAAAATGAAGCAGGAACCCAAGTGATCACGGAAATAAGAATTCTTAGGTTGGGCTTGGAAGAATTTGACTCATATGGCCTGACAAAAGTCCTACTATTTCAGCTACCATTCAGTAAAAATTAATCTTGTTAAAAAAAATTCTTGGGAAAATGAATGCCTTACGGCTTATCCACTTTAGTACACACATCCTTCTGCTGACTCTTTTAACCTCTTTCATGTAGTAAAGCCAGCTCTGAGCAATGACCCTGAAATTAAAATCTGCAAATTTTAAAGCAGTCTGCCAAAACTTTAAACCCTATTAGTGATTGTTAGACAAACAGATTTTCAAAATATTTTACCTGCTAGATTCTGCTGATGTACCCATGATGCCCCTGAAGCCTGGTTATGGGGTTTTGTAGACTGTCCTACAGTTTCATTTTTTATCTGTTTGTCTGCATCTACAAGGTTTTCTTCCTGTTCTTCAAGATCATGAAAATGTTCCTCATCATCTGATTCCTATGGAATGAATCAGTTTTAAGCAGAAGAGCCAGTACAGAAATCAAAATAGCTCTTAAAAGATAAGCAAGCAGATACAGTTTGAGATAGTAACCTCAAAAATCATAGAAATAGTTTGAGGACAGCTCATAAAAGTAGATACAAAGTTGCTCCAAAACAGCAAATAATAGTTTGAAGGGTAAAGTGCGAAAGCAAAAGCAGAGAAGTTGGAAGCACCTCAGTGAATTTGTATTTCATTACATTTTTATAGTCTTACCTCCAATCTTAAACCCAGTGGTCATTATTGTTAAACAGATATGTGTAAGATTACATAGTTAAATAGCTACATCTTCAGAGTTATAGCCTTGGCTTTGAAATCCCAAAATTATTTTTGTTATGGTATTTATTTTAAACTAGTGTTCCACAAAATTATATACAGGGTTTTAAAACCAGTGCAATAGCATAATGTCTAACAAAACATAATGGAAGCCCAAGTATCAACAAGGAGAATGAAAATGGTCCTTTTTTTCCTTAAACATAATTATTCCTGCTAATTAAAATGTAAATATTCCATTTTTGTGATGATTTAATTGGCCCTAGCACAATTATAGATTTTAAAACTGATTGTGTATAACATACCATTTCTTTGACATAACAACCTTTAAGTCATAACCTTTATTTGAAAGAGATGTTTTTGCAGGAGAGATTAAAGTCAGGCTTTGACCTTGCCAACTGTATGGACAAGTCCATGCAGTTTTCTAGGGAGCATTTTGGAAGTGGTTTGCTGTGCTTTCTTCCTAGGGCTGAGAGAAAGTGACTGGCCCAAGGCTACCCAACTGACTTTGATGCCTAAGGCAGATCTCACTGCTCCTAATCCAACACCTTAACTACTAGATCAAACTGATTCTCAAAAGATAGTTCACAAATACTTAAAAATTACTCTGCAATAACTTCATTCAGAAATTAAGTATATGATATCCAACACTAGAGGCCTGACACTAACTTTGTTCTTGAAAATAAAGCATAGATTGTAAATTACAGTGCCCATCATTTTTCAATTGTTACCACTCAGTGGGAAAGATACTATTCATTGTACACCTAACTAGTGACTTTTTAATTATACACAATACAGCACTGATATAAGCCATTCATCTCGACTAAAGGATCATTTGTAAAACAAGCGCGTTAAAAGCAATCTCAGTGTTTTTTTTTAATGAAGTCAGTAGATAAGGTAAGCTAAGAAAAATCATGTAACAGGAACATATCATACCACATGATCCTGCAGCTGTACCCATAAACCTGGTTTTATTTTCAGAAGTTCTGACACAAGGTATAGGGCCCCACAGGCAAATGGTGGCATTTGTCCACAGGTGACTTGAAGTAATCGTTTCACAAAAGCTTTCACTCGTCGCAATACTGTATCAGCCTTCAAAGATTTGTAGACAAGGTTGAGAAACATGGATGGTTTGGCACATAATGCTACTCCGGGATCTAGCAATTTCCTGAAAAGAATATTCACATTAGATCATCTGCAGGGTTATTCTCTCATGTAAGCAAGCCATCCCCACTCCCTCTCTTGCTTGAGGAGAGCACCTAAAGAGGGTTTTACAGATGTTTACTATACTACACAGTATTTGTTTAAAGGGGTCAATTATTTTCAATGAGTAACATTCCAGCAGAGGGTTACCAGGTTTATGAACAGGCAAAAGAGGACATGGACAATTGGACAAATGGGAGGAAAAGGAGGACACACTAACTGTTTAACTTGCTTGGCATTTACCACAAAAATTACAGTAAAAAACTGCAAAAAAAATGTATTTAGGCCTACATGTATATGAAATTACTTTTCCCAGTATCAGAAAGACTGATTTTTCAATCACAATATTTTTCTAATATTTTTTTTCTTTTTCATTACTATATTATTTTTTTTTCTATTTTTCTATTTTTTTTTCTGCACTTTTTTCTTTTTACTCTTTTATTTTTTTAGTTTGTATTATTTTTATCTTTGTAACTGTAATTTTTAACAAAGTTATTATTTAAAAAAGCATTAAAAACGAAGTACTTTACATACTCATGAACTCTCCAAAAATGGCAGGTTATCCATTGTCATTAGTAAATACGAGTAGTTAGTTCGTACAGAGAGGTGACTGAAGTGCAATGTGCATAATATAATTTAAAGATATAAAATTTAAAATATAAAGCAACAATTATTATTTGAGAAAACAGCATCTGACAGATAAATCAAAATAGGTACGGCACTTACTTATATAAGGCTATGTAATATCGGTCAGAGACCGTTTGATTAGAATCCATCACCTGAAATAGCAACATCAAGGCCTGGATACTAGTATTGAAGTTCACAATGTGCAAAACCTTAAACAAAGTATCCATCTGGTCTTTTATTTTTTCACTGCTAGTCTGAGCATAAGGATATGCTCGATTCACTCCGGTTAGTAGAGCACTAAGCATTTTGGACCCAACATCCTTCTTCTTGATGCAAGATTGGAAAAAACAAAAGTAGAGTGTTGTAAGTTTATTAGCCAGCTCACTTTCTTCATGGCTAAGAACTATCTGGTTCAAAAAGCAAACTGCATAGTATTGTGCTTTGGGGCTAATGTTCGATCTGTAGAGAAGCCTCTCAACTTCATTACACACTACTCCTTTCATATTGGGATGCTTATGAAGCAAAGTCTCAAGAAGATAAGATGCTTTGGTGGCTACTTTGTTCTGAGGATCTCCCAGTTTATTGACCAACTGAACAAGGAAAGCCTTTTCTTGCTCTGCCTTATTACAGAGCAGTTCGTGGGCTGCGGATAGTGCACGACCCTTTGTTGCTACCAAGGGATCATGAGTCAGTGATTCTAACACTTGCACAAACTCAGCTATCCAGTGTTTCAGATGATGCTCAAAATACCACAATATTAGACGCCTGTCTCTTGAATCCCTGTTGCCACTTGAAAGCTTTTCCAGATTGTCAAAAGGATGTTGAGAGAAAGTATGCAGTTTTCGATTATCTGGTAAGAGATGAGTCATGAGAAGTTCTTTGAAAGTATCCAGAGCCATTAAGCTCTGCCTTCTGCTGCCTTTCTTTTTGATCAGATTGACCAGGATCTCTATAAACTGAAGTGAGTGAACAGGAGCATCTTGGATAAGAAGAGTCATGGCAGCCATTCTGTCAGCAAGTGTTCCTGATGACACCACTGTCTTCATCCATGCAGAAGATGATCCTTTCTGGAAATTTCTGTTGTTTTTGTAGAGGTCTGCCTCCTGTTCATAAAGTTTTTGGGCCAAGGCTTTATATCCGGATACAAGAGATTGATTTTGAGTTTCAACAGAAAATTCATTAGTATACTCTAGGTCATACCATTTTCCCCCTGGTTTTATCATCAACGCCTGTCGTTCATAAAACTGAAAAGCTTCTTCTTCCTTTGCTTTCTTTGTTCCCAGCCGCAATGCACTGTTTTCATTGCTAATGGGGATTGGCTTTTTCATCTTATCTTTGGCAGTATTCAACTGTGTGCTTCCTTTGTTTCCTTTCTTTTCCTTTTCTTTTTTTCCTACTGTAGTTATGTTTACTTTCTTTTGGTTGACATTTTCATTTGGGGGAGATTTTTCCTCTGGTTCTATTGCTGCTTCCTTCTCTTCTTCTTCTTCCAGGAACCTCTTTGAATATTTGCTCACACCTAGCGAATTGATAAATGCCTCCAATTCACCTTGGTTTAAATCATCAATTGCTCCTTTTTTGCCACCATCTACAAGATCTTCTGATTCATTCAAAGTAGCAAGCATGATATAATCTTGCTGTACAAAATAAAATCAAGAAACTATATTAATGTCTTTAATTAACAGTTGATAGGTGATAAGCAGTCAAATCACACAGAGAGATTACAAGATATATTGCAAGTATCCCAAAACAAAGAAAACTAGTAAATTTCTTGAAGTCGGAACAGAGGATTAATCAACTTTTCTGTATCTAATAAAAATTCAAAAGACTGGCAGAAAGACAATGCTTTGCTTTCACGTTGTTAGGATTTTAATCAGAATTAACAGTCACAAGTATGCCAAGAAAAAACAGTTATATCTTGCATTTTTTAAAAAAAAGCATTAACACCTCAGCCAAAGGTGTCCTGAGCCTTCTGTCACCAGAAAGGGCAGAAAGAAGAGACACAGGTAATCTGCTCCCATGTTGTTCAATCCAAAACCACTGCAACTATACTTCAAATTTTTGCAAACATCATTATCTGTCATAGCTTATCATTTAAATGCACTTCGGTGCTAGAGTTACCCTGCATTTAGTAAAATCGTACTTGCTATCTGGTTTAGCAGTGCATTCTGAGTGGCCAACCAGGTGCTGATGAAAAATGCCACAACTAACTCGGAATGTAGGGAGTTGTCTCAACACATCTAGAGGCCAGCAATCTGAGAAATGTCCAGGTGTAAAGGACTTCATCTTAATCAGACATGTCACAGGGAGAAAATACAGTAGCTAACCAATCCTTAGGATAAATACGAAGAAACCCCACGACACTAATTAAATGCTCTGCCAAGGATTTCAGCTCCCTTCTCAACACGTGCTCTCACAATACTCCGGTCCCTGTAGCCTCAATGACTGTCTCTTACTTTAGTCCCACCGAGGCGCAGCACCTCCTCCAGCGTAAATTCACTTCCATCGTCAGCCGCATCTTCACTATCTATCTCCTCACACTCCCTAAGTTCCGGCTCCGCCATCTTCCCGGCCAGACCACTCATGCATCGCGGTCCTTCTCACTTCCGGGAAACAGTGAGGACCGACCACTCAAGGGAAAGGACTTGGAAGATGAGTGAATTAACGAACGATAATTAAACCTCCCTGGCTTCGGAAATCTATCGGAAGAAATGGCCTTGGTTGCCTAAGAATATGTGTGAAACAACTGTGACCTCGACTGTAGATCGCATTGGTTATTTAAGGAAGAGCCTTTTTTACTGAGCTGCCAGGACTTGCGCGCGGAGGAAAAGCTGACAAGGGCGAGAGGGTAGGCATGTGGCTCATGCTTCCAGAGTATGTTATTTTGCAAACCGCGCGCTTTGGCGCGCGGTGCAAACGCTCCATCGGTTTCCCTAGGAGCAACAACAGCGCCTGGGGCTTGCCTGCTCACTTGGCCCGCCAGACTGCGCAAGTCTATGTCGCTTTATCCCGAAGTAAGTCTTGTGGAGCTCGATGCTGTTTGCTGCCAACTAAATGTGCCCATTTGCAACTTTAAATTATAGTACGCTGGAGTTTCCATGAGTGCATGGTGGGTTCTCTAGCTTGCCCGGCACCGCTTCTCTTGCAGGGTGCTATTCCTCAAACTAAAGGAGTTTGAAGTACCTTTGAATTGGTGAAACTACCAGCCAAGTCCGACCCGGTTCTTTTTTTTTTTTTTTTTTTTTAGTATAAGACAATAGCTGGGAGGTGCTTCTATCTAGCCGGCTTCCCCAGCTGCTGCTTTTTAATGTGGACAATATCTCTCTGCAGTCAGTATGATTAAAGCCTGTCTTTCTGTGCGATGATGGGAACTATAGTTTAATGGATTTGAAGAAACTAGTTTCATGATTATGTAATTGCTTTTTTAATTTTCTGCGGGTGTAAATAAAATACCACCTAGGGAGTATTAATGGGACCCTTAGCCAACCTTATCGTATTTGAAATGGGCCTTTTCAATGTTAGGCAAGTGTAGCTATTCAGAGGAATTGGAACTCAGTTTGGAGGCCTGGCTTTTAGCGATTCCACTCTGATAATTTGGATCCTACACTATAAAACAGAAATAAATGGAAATGGTCTGGAACATTAATTGTCACTGGATATTATGGATTGTGGCTACTGTGATGAAAGGGTATTTTGTTGCTTTGCTAGAAAGCAAGCTGAGAATTATCTGAGCACTGCCTTATAAGAAAGGCAGCTATAAAGCTAAGAAAACTTGGAAAGAGAGAAGACAGAGAAGATAGTGGAGACAGTGGACCAAGGAAAAGGAAAACAAAATGATCAGAGCATTGGGGGAAAATAACATTTTGTGAGGAGCTGAATAGTCTGTCTATAATTAAGCATAGAGTAGTTTCCTTTAAAGAGAAACAATTTATATCTGTATTATCTGTTTCTACCATGTTCTTACTAAATAGAGTTTTAATTGCTTATGATCAACTTGACCTTTGAGTAAACAGTTGAGAGGATATAATGCTGCTCCTGCTACATTTAAGATGTAATGCTACCAGAAAAAGGACATGTAAGAGATGCAGGCAACACCAACTTCGGTTTAAACTTCAATATACAAGCTGCAAACTTTTCATTTTAGATGGGGGCAGCAAGATCTGAAAGGCTCTGCATCTATCCCCAAATTAAGTTTGGAACAAGTTATGCCACACATCTGTCCAGAAAAATTCACTGTTTTGTCATGGCTACAATGTAGACTTACAAACAGGCATTCTTGCTTTTTAGAATTCTGTGTGGTCTGTCCATGTTGGAGTTGGACAGGAGTTGAGGCCTTTCTAAAAGCTATCCACTTTCCCTTGCTGCTCATTACTGCATGGTGCTGATTTTAACCTATAAAGACCACATGGCTTGGCTCCCAGAAACAGCATCTGTAACAAACTGGTATGATAGTATGTACAGAATGACAAGTGCTGCAGTTATATACTTGCATCCCATTGCAGATGCCCATGTTCCCAGGTATCTCCAGGACCCCCTCCTTTGTGTATAACTTACTGCTCTGCTACGCTTCTACTGGGAAGGGATACTTGGATCTGCCTGTTTGGGATGGCCCTGGTGAGAAGCTTAAGGCAGTGCTTTTCAATTGTAACCCTTTTCCTTTGTAATAGTCTATCCTTGCAATTCAGGAAGATCTTGAAAACAACCTTGTTCCCCAAAATTTTAGTACTAAATTGTATGTATCACCAGCATGTGATGGGGTACCTGTGGCTGGTTATTTAACTTTATTTAAGTTTATTAGATGCATATCCTGACTTTCCCCTGAAAGTTCAGGGTGTACAGTTGTATCTTCATAACAACTTTGAGGTAGACCAGCCTGAAGAGTTAATAGCTAGTTTAGGGAATTTAGTCAGCCCTGTGATGGAGAAAACAAAAAGCATCTACAAAAAGCTCATTCAGATCATCAGAATCTGCAATTTTGAAATCAGTAAAGAGAACAAGGAGGATGTGAACTTGTTTAGATGAGATGCCTTGGGTGCCAGCTTTTGATACAGTGTTAGTTATTCTAACATATTAAGATTTTATCATATTAAACAATAGCAGAAACAGCACATATTCATTAAAATAAGCCAGAAGCTAATAAAAATGCACAATAAAAAAGCAGAAGGAGCATTCTAAAAGGAGCATTCATGATCAGTTGCCTGCATGTTGCACAAAATTAAGTAAATGTTAGCTTAGTCCCTGTGAAGTTTCAAATTCTCCAAATACCATTTGAATAACTTAAAAACGAATAGCTTGAAAAAAATGACTAAGTATTTCACATATTTATTAAAACTGATTACTTGAAGTTATGTTTTTTTTTTTTTAATCCAGGTTGTTCCACTGTATTGAGATGCCAGCACTTTAGTTCAGAAAATAAAGCAACAGACAATAGCCCCATGACTCCAATACTGAAACATCTCATAATGAAAATAAAATCAACTGGCCCTATTACAGTTGCTGAATATATGCGGGAAGTTTTGACAAATCCACTGAAGGTATGATCGGTGACACTATTAAATGTGTAGGAGTCAGTTTTTTTGGAGTTAAAGCTCTATTTTTTTATACAAATCAAACCTTTAAAAAAATGTAATACTTTAACCTAGCATATTAAAAAGCAGAGACGTCACCTTGCCGACAAAGATCCGCATAGTCAAAGCTATGGTTTTTCCAGTAGTAATGTAT